CACTCTCCTTTAATGTGTGAGTCAAATTTAACCTTAACTTTTTTATTTCTTCAAAATATTTTACTAAATTTCCTTTATGCACTTATATTAAGTCCAAGTCAGCCTTAGCTTTCTTCTTCATGTCATTGAGCTCTTTATTTACTTCCATTCATCTTTTATCCTCATTGGCAAGATCTCTCATCGATTTCCTCTGAATCTCACCAAAGAATATTAGAATTGCCACAATGAAATTTATATCTAGATAAAAATTGGTGACAATTTCTCCTTATTCATCCCACTAATTATTTTCTCATTCGAAGACAAGCTAATGACCAAGCCTTGATGATAAGAGAGTTGAAGTGCCTCATTTAACTTTGCATTCCAATCCATCAATAGATTTATATGTGCTAAAATATGGTCTTCTTCATAGTTTTATATCTTATTACCCTTCTTTCATGAAAATTTTTGAGAAAAAAATCTTCTGAGCGGTTTGTCTTGAACTTCTTCACATAGTTTCACCCTATTGAGTGGAGTCCTCAATAATTGCGTATTTTCACTTCTGAGTGAAATCCTAAAGCCACTTGTTAATTACCTCTCTCTCTCTCTCTCTCTCTCTCTCTCTCTCTCTCTCTCTCTCTCTCTCTCTCTCTCTCTCTCTCTCATATATATATATATATATTGCGGCTTCATTGGAACTCGATCTCCTAGCTTTATCCTATACATTTACCCAGCAATATAGGAATCAACTTCACCACTCATGAAATATTGTTCACTTTGAACAACTTCTAGAGTCATGAATGGGAACCCCAATAAGTTGATAGACAACCTCCATAGTGGTAGAAAGTCACAACTCTTCTATATCCACATATAGGCCGACTTTTGTTAATGAGGATGAATCAACCAACCTCATTTCCAGACCTAAATAAAGCATTTTTCGCAATATAATTATTAATTCATCGGTTTCTTATTTTTGAAGAATTATCTCAGAAGGAGTTATTGAGCTTAAATATTGTGTCATACTTGTATGGTTAATCTTGCAAATTTATTCATCCTTTTAGAAGTAAAAAAAAATGCATTCATAATAGAAACAATATTTGGTAAGTACAGTGTGAAAAAACAAATAAATTCCATGAGAACATACCTTGACAAGGAGATTGACCTACCCTTTTACAATATGAGAAAGGATCTCTCATCCTTCTCATAAACATCACCAAAAAAATGGGCTAAACTAAGGTTAGAATTGCTAAAATTATTACAAGAGCATCAAAATAAACTATAAAGTAAAAGCAATTATAAACACTTAAGATAAAATATTTTTCTCCTAGAGACATTCTCTAGAAACATTCTCACATCAAGAGCCACCTCTTTTGTTATTTTATATAGGGAATCATCTTTGAGAGATGGCTTGAGGTTGCTCTTCGATAAGCCTCATGACTCAATTTGAGTTCCAATTGGCCACCCTTTTCATAATAAGTGAAGCAAAATTTCCTCTGCTAGTCTTCTTTCACTTTATCCACTAGTCTAGATACCTTGTAGGCCAACAATAAAAGGATTATCATGCCGATCTTAACAAATGGGTTTTCCATGAATTGAGATAGGATGATGCAGTAAAAATTAAAAATATTGACAAAGTTCTAATAAAGTAAAATTAACAAACCCAAACTAAATTGCTTATGATAAAATAATAGCTCCTTGTCGTACATAGAGTTTGACATTTAATCCTTCTTTGCCACTATAGGCAAATGGATGGGTCAAAAATAATCTCACAATGCACAAATTTGACTTCCTCAATGGACATCCCGGACTTTTCAAAAAGTTAAACCTTTATGAGCTGATTGTAACTAGAGCAGTGGATGAAAGTTATTTCAAATTTTGAAGCAGGGTGATCGAGAAAAAGAACATAATAACAATCTCACAAATGGCAAACAAAGTTTACAAATTATTGTTGATACCTCTTTTATAAATATGATAGTATTTATTACAAGGGATACATTATAATAATAAAAGAATCAAAGTAATAAGAATGACATCACAAGTATAAGGGTAATTAAAATCAAATCTTTGTATAAACTGAGGAACCACAACCAATCAGTTAAATAGTTATAAGAAAATTCTTTCAATATTACAATTAAAAATAAGCAAACTAATTGCCCAAGTCATAAAGACTTTATAACACAAGTACAAACCCTCCACACATATGAAAAAAAAAGATCAAAACAAGGGCCCAACACAATATCTATAAGAATCCGACCTAGTCAAAGAAGTCGTTTTAACACATACTCTCAATTAGACTTAAATGTCAAGCTATTTGATTCAATGTTTCCCTGTATCAAAAGTCACTTATTTGATAAACTTGTAATTCAGTTTGCCCAAAGATTTCTTCAAGATAGAAACCTCACGTTTCAACATGTCCAACTATTACTTGAATTCAACCACTTCGATTATGACTGGATGATGAGAAATAATCTCCAAAAAATTAACCATCAAGTTTTGTGCAAAAATTTACTATGATAACGTTAGAAGCATATTCATATCTCCTGCAGAAAGTCAATTGGGTGACTTGCTTATAAACAATATAATATGATTGTTAATTGAACCGACACTTTGAAGTGAATTATGAAGAATCATGTACCTCTAGCTAGTAAAATCTGAACTATGAAATAAGTCCCATACTCTTCAACAATTGAAAAAGAAAGTTTATAAGGAGCCTATTGGTAGAATGCCTCCTTGATCAAATTAATTTTTCTTTTAAAGGCATCTAATGCTACATTTAGATTCATCTCGGCCATATTTCCAACACAAGGATGACACTTTTACAAGAAGTTGTAACCCATAATTTTCTATATATTTATATTCTTCAATTTTACATAATATTATTAATATTTTGGTTGTATCGTTTGATCTTCATCCACATAGAAGCTATAAAATAGTCAAAAAATCGCTCAACCCACAGACATCGCTCTGGGTAGACAACAAAGCTGATGATCTCTTAGTGGATCATAGCTTCATTGCAGTCAAACCATCAAAAGGAATCCCCTCTAGAATATCTACACTCATTGCTAAAAGTACATGGGCATGCAGTGATCAAGCCTTCTTTCGATGGCTTCACCACCATCTTCCTCCTCTTCAATTTGTTTTTTCTCTTGCGCTTGTTGAATAAACCTTCAAGGAATTCGGAGGTGGGAATGTCAATATAATCCTATTGAAAATTATCCTTCCAAAACTAATACATGAAATGAGATAAAAAAAAATAAAGATTGATGAAAAAAGAGGATATGTGGAAGTGTGAATCAGCTCAAACCCTGGTACTCCATTTATAGAGCACAAATGATCTAAACTTCGATGGAGTAATTCACTTGTCATAAATTTAATTGGATAACATACTTGATGTATTCCCAACTTATTTTTGAATTGTTTATTTACAACATTCTCTTATTCTTTTCACAACTTCACGTTTCATGTGATAAGTGATTCTGAGAAGTAAAAATTGTATAGCCAAAGTGTATCCATGGAGAACTAAAAACCAAGACTCGGATGACACACTAAGTGAGACCCCAAGATTTCTCAGCTTAAGTATCCAACTAAGGCTGAGTATGAGTTGCCAAGTATGAATTGTCGAGCGAGCATGACTATTCCATCTATCACAGTCAATTTTTCGGTTCAACAAAATGATCTAATGAACACAAGAGATTGGGTAGACTGCTAAAGATGTGATCTGATAAATGTATAGAGAATAAGTGCCAAAATACGATGTTGTCAAAGGATAATGAAGTAGAAATATCATTAACTATATGTTATTATCAGAAGAAGAAAGAAAGATATAAGTGAGAGATTCCTACAAATCTGCAGGTAATGATCAACTAATTATATTTTAAGAAAAAAATCTTCTATAAGTAATGGAAGATCTATGTAATAAGGGATGGTCAATTAATCCCCAAATATTGTTTCTTTATCTATCTTTTCTAGTGAATTCAATAATCCCCCTCTTTGAAGCTCACTCTTTCACTCTTTTTTTGCTTATTTAGGTTTGAGTTCATGGCTAGATCATGATTCAAAAATAATCTTTAAATTAACATAAACTTTAATATTTCAAATACAACATAGATGAAGTTTCAAGTAAATTTTTGCAAGGTTGTCAAAAAAATTATTTAGTGGTTATTCAGTTTGAAGCAAAATGGGGCTATTACATTTCCAAATGTATGTGTTTTGAAAATTTGTGTTTGATTTGAGGAAAATGAATCCAATGTAAATTCACAATGAATTTCAAATCTAGAATTTAGTTTATTCTCATTGTATTTCAATAATTTTTAAATACACTGCAAACTACAACTATTGATGACGCCATTGAGACTGCTAAAACTACGTTAGCCGTAATGACCGTACCTTAAACTAAAACTACTAACTATCGTTGGCCAATTGACTGTCCCCACCCACAACTCAATTGTCGGAAGTCACTGCCCATTAGCCGCCAATCGCCTCCCCCTCAATCTTCCACAGTCGCCACCAACCCAAGCCGCTCATGATGTTGCGTCGCTAGCCACTGCCTCCTCTCCAACCATCATGCGGCCAACCATCACCTAGCCATAACTCGAATTTTAATTTAATTTATACTGTACTTACTTAAATATAAAACTATAAATTTATATATTTACAATATATTTGCCCAGACAACATTTATTTTTTTTTAAAAGCTACTGCAAAGTTGGCTGTCTGTTTGGGGCAGCTGTGTGAAAACAGCTGTGGGGCAGCTGTTTCTGGATAAATGACAATTCTGCCCCTGTTCTGTAATGGTGTGCTTAACAGAACTATGATAACCATAAATTTAATGCTTTTAAGGCAAAAATTCAGTTAAAAACAATACAGAATATCTAGAAGACTGAAAGCATCAACCAACTCATCTACAATCCATCATTTTCTGTATGCAATATCATTTCGAAAATCCATATAGCAATTCATATAGCCTTCAACAGCTTACATAAATGACATGACACGTTCATAAAACCATATTAAAACCTCAGACTAACGGGGCACTTCGCCACCGCTCGCGAGGCAATGCTCGCGCTAACGAGTTGCGGCTGCTCTTCTTCTTCTTCTTGGATTCCCTCCTTACCCACCTTAAATCGAAAGCATTTATCTCGTCATCCTCATGGCTTTTGCCCACCACTTCCAAGAAATATTTTTTCAATTCAAAAATCTGTTTTTTCCGCTATTCACCGTTGCCAATACTTTCTCCACATCGACAGCCACGGTGGCAGTGGAAAATGGCCAGTGAGATTTAGCAGAGGGACTGTTCCGCTGGAGCTGAGCTCTGGAGAAAACGAGGAAGATGAGGAGGAGAATGGTTCGGTAAAGGCGAAAACGTCAGGTACAAGCGCGAGGGGAAGGAGGTTGCTTAGGGTTCGGGAGGAGAAGAGGAAGAGAGAGTATGATCGCATACATAATTATCCAACTTGGGCTAAGTTCGTATCACTCTCATCTCCTCTCTAAATGTTCTGTTGCGCTTTTTTAGCAGTCTTGTAAGAACACAAAAATTGGATTTCTTCTTTTTAGTGATGGTTTAAGCATGATGTTTGTTTGATTTAGATATGTTCGTTGCGATAACAAAACACTGTTAACAAGAATTAAACTGTTTCACACGGTAAGAAACAGGGAAAATTTAAGAAGATAGAGGTTGAGAGGGTGAAGGATCAAAGAGCACAGAAACGAAACAGCTCTTTGACATTTATTTATAGGATTTCAGGCACTATAGGGAATACCACTCTAGAATTTTGAAGAGAATGAACCCAAAAAAATAAAAAATAAATGATTGGACTGTTATACAATGTACATTATAATCAAAACTTAATAAACATTCATGGACAGTTCCCCAAGCAAGTGATTGGGAGAAGCTGCTTGCTAGGAAGATGAGGTTGTGATCTTTCTAAAAGAATGCTAATTTGTTGATAGCTTTTTCGATTCATTGAGTCAATGACAAGTGTTTTATGCTGGCTGGGCGATTGTCCCATTAGCTAGGGCAAGTAGCTTCTTAAGTTAGGTAAAATGACCTTGGCGAGTTCCCGAGTTTCTTGGTGAGTGCTTTGTGAATGAACTCGGTATAGGTGAAAGCGATGAGAAACCCTTGTTGATTTTTTTTGGTTCCTGTCGAGCGCACCCTATATTTGGGCTCTTTGGGGTATACATTTAATCTCTCATTCTCTTGGATGTTTTAGAGGGAGATTGTAGAAAAAAATATGAGAATTATGTTGGCTACTTAATAAATTGGCTGAATATCAAAGTCAAAAAGATAGATTCCAAGACTTGTTCAATCATTATGTTGGGAACCATGTGACATTTAACTCTTTAATAATATATTTAATTTGATTGTTCTGCACATCAGCAATATTGATGGCTTATATATATTGATTGATGCTTTATTTTTTTTTGGAGCTAGATTTCTTTTTTTGCTTTTTGCCCTTCACAATAGTTAGGCAAATCCCCTTTTGCTTTAGATGGATGAGTTTCGGGTGATGGAAGCGGTTGCTTTTCCTAATCATGAATTGCACTAAAGCATTCTACATAAAGGCAAGCAATGTCAATAGGGGGAGGAAAAGTAAAATATTGACTTAGCATATGTTCAAAGGAGGAGAAAATCGGTGGATAGAATGGAAACCATTGCTCATGTGATGGATAGATAGTTTTCAAGAAATTAGTTGAGGGCCCTTCTTGATTAGATTTTATTTTGTTGGGTCCAAATGTGGAGTTGGAAGCTTAAGCGATATCTTCGACTAAGGTACCCCCTTATTATAACTTGTTTACTTGGACTAATTCTTAACTTTTTTTTAGAATTTGTCGTTTATGAAAAAAGTTCGTTTTCAATAAGAAGTTTTTGTGGCTAATTTGGATCTTTCATGTTTGGGAGCCAAACATTTATAAGTGGTCGTTGAAGGTAAGAAGTACCCCCACTATAAAACAGGTTAGCCTAGAGGGTAACATGCTTTTCATTTCTAGTAAGCCAATTATCTACTTGATCATGAGCGAGCTTTTAGATTTTATTCTATCAGAATCACAGGCCGCAACTATTGCACGTTTGACTTTTCTCTTCTTTTGTTAAAGTGTTTTTTGGCAATGGCTTTATTCAAGGTTTTTCTAATAGTGTTCTAAATAATGATTCTTTTCTTTCTAATTTTTTGATGAATATCGCGGACTTGATTTCTATTAGGGGCTTGAGCATAATGGTGTAATCAATAAAAAACAATTGAATTGTTGCGTTGGTTTGACGAAATTGACATTAGTTGGGAGACAAAGGTGTTTCAAACATAATTGTTGAATAAAGCGAGCATGATGAGTTTGACTTAGAGAGTGATAAGAAGGAAGAGTGCGAGGTGGACAATGTGATCGAAGTAGAGAGGAGAAGAGGCGCACATCACATACATGAAGAAAGAATATGAGGGGGTGGATGATGTCACCTGCTGGTGTTTGTGTGCTGATGGTGAAAAAACCGAGTGGTGATGATGCCTCGATTGGGAGACAGTCTTGCTCAGGAGTGGTAGCGAGTGTCGTATGCTAGAGAGAGACGATATCTTGTGCAAAAATTGAAGCCGCATGCTTGAGAATAAGCTTTGTGTGCAGGAGATGGACAGAACAGTAACAGGCTTTGATATCAAGCAAAGGAGGAGGAAAAGAAAACAATATTAAAGGTTAGATTTTTTTTTTGTCGGTTAGTAATAGTTAAATTTAGTTTATAATTTAGATGGGTTTACAAACATAGCACTAAAAAATTTTTTGTTTACATATTCAACACTCAAATTCCATTTACAGAACCAATACCTAAAGCTTCCAAAATAGTAAAAATTAGGCTGTCTCTCTGATTGCCTCCTCCATTAAGCCCATCTTCCCTATTATATATAACAGGTTGAAAGACTATTTCTTGCTAACAATTGTAGCTTGTTGAGCTTTTGAATTGTTACTAAAATGTTGCTTTATGTTTCTTGTTTGGGATTGAAGAGGGAATGCTGTTTGTCGCTGGTGGTTGCTGTGGTTGCCGTAAAGGCAGGGCTGCATAGATTGAGATCATTGACCAGATTTGAATGTCTGAAGCAATACCATAGGTATGGAATCCACATGTGTTCATCATTCTTTGAATGAGGATTGTTGAAGAGCTCTTCAGCGGGCTTGCCCCAATTGGAATGTTGAGGCAAAGAGAAGGGTTGAAGTATTTCGATATGCAGCATGATGAGATAGAATAGGAGAAGAGGGTTACTTTCCTTGAATAATCTTATTATATAATCAGTTGCTTTTCTTCCATAATAGAGAGTTTGGATCTCTTGAGATCTTGGCTGAGCGGAGGTGTTTCCAACAATTGATGGAACAAGTCGAGAGATAGGGAGTGGTATAGAGCTATTAATTGTACCTTTGGAGGAAAAAAGATCCTGAGAAGAAATAGGGGAATTGAAGTGAACTACAATGATGAATTTACTTTTAGTCTTGTAGACTGTACTGGAACTAAAAAGGTGATTTTTTTTGTTTTTGCTGAGATGGATAAATCAAAGGTGAGTCAACTAATGGCTTGAGGGATCTCCATGGTTGCCGAAAACTCACTGAGTGGTGAGGTAAAGCAACAGATGTGTTTCCAACATTGAAACCAACCAACTTTTTCTTCTGTTTTTGTTGTTGTTGATGGCAATGCTTCCTCAGCTCGTCTTCCCCAAGAATAGGCAAGATGGCGGAGGTAATTGAGAGAGCAGAGTGCTAATTTTGAGAATTTTGCAAGTGGATATGTAAATATAAGGTTTTTAGTGTTTGATATGTTATAAGCAAGTTTTGAGTGCTATAAATGTAAATCCCCCTAAAATTTATTAGGCATTAATAATAAATTATTATGATTTAATATCAGATTTTGAAAAGCGAAAGTGTCTACGAATTGAAAGGTTGAGATGAATTGTTGATTTTATAAGAAATAGATATTGAGTTGTTTCTTTTAATTTATAATTTATTTATTCTATATAAATACACAGATTTAGAGTAATACAAATTTTAGGATCTTTTTTGGAGAACGATACTAGATTTGATAGAGTTGATAAAAAATTGATCAATTGGAGGTGGTGCCAAGGGATTTACAAAGGAACATGGTACATGAGATATGCAACTTAATCATAAACATTATAATTTAATGAGATTAAAAAGAAGATTATGTCTTTAAGTTATATAATTAACTTAGAGAATCAAGTTTCAACACTATCAAGCTTAAAAATATTTTAATTTACCAAACTAAATAAGTCAATTACTTAACCATGTAGTCTAATATCATGTTGTAAATATTATGATTAAATAAATAATTTATGTGATTAAGTATTAAATTAAAGGAAGTGGAGATTGAAATTATGTGATAGAATAAATCATTTAAAGGTTGACAGGAGTAATCATTTTTCTACTTGTACTAAACTCAGATTTTTTATTTTTAAAATGCATTCATGTTTTTAAGGATTTAAATCATGATAGTATATACAAATTAAATTAACATTTTAATGTTTTAAAATAATATATATGTTTTAAGTCGCATTAAAAGTTTAACAAGTATTTTAATGATTGAAATAAATTTAAGAAAAAATTAAATAAAATAGATGTTGAAGACTATGTTACTAGTTAAGGACCCTATCGTACTCTTGCATGAAAAGGAAAATAAAATGGCTTAACAATAAATAAAATAGACGAAGATGATAAGACTTGGTGTCACTATGCTCGCCATCAATTTTTGTGATGCCTTTTATCTATCTTGATGTTGTTGCATTAATTCATGCATCTTCTGACCCTCTTGCTCCTTCAAATTCTAGGGGATATCCTATTCTAGATTATGTTTTGCTTGCAACCATGCTCCTTCATATTATTATCATCCTAGCAAGTCATCCTATCTATCCGAGTGGGGAGTTAAAAATGGTACCCTATCCGTAGGTATGTGCACTTCTAGTCGAAACCACCATACAGTTGTCAAGCTTAAAAAGAAGTGTATCTCCTTGGCCTTACGACAAAGGCATTGTTATTGACATGGATTTTATTAGAGAAAGGGCGGAAGAAGGATCTTGACCAAAGTTGTGCGAGGCCAAGGGAAGAAGAGACGCCATTGTTGTCAACCCTCCCTAGAAGATTAATGCTACATAGTAGAAAGTCTTGGAATGGTGTGCCGACCATTTCACCATCGCTATTGATTTTGGTTTCGATTCAGTACTTACCATTTACATCACATCATATGTAGCTTATGATTTGAGTCTTCCATTTCCTCCCAGACTGCAAAGGAATTGCTTGGATGTATATCTTCCATCAAGATCCCATTCATCGCAATGAGGCTCATTATGAGTAGGACTGAGAATTTTACTTGAATATTTTTAATCGCTTGAATTTAAGCTCGGCTTAAGATAAAATAAAAAAGAATGAGTCGAGCTACGAGCCAAACCCTTGGATCAGACTTTTTTTTGATTTGATTTCG